TCTATTTTTCCATGAACTTTTTGAACCCCCCTCATATTTATTAAGAACACAAATCCCAAGAAGCCATGAGCAGAGTCCTTGAATGTTTTAGAACATAGTCCTCTTGAGGATTCTGATGAAAACTATGGAGTCTTTCCTCAAAATACAAGAGGGATGTTGACAAAGTTTTCATTGTGATTTCAGAGAAGTCTCTGAAACCCATCTCCGACTCTGAGAGCAGCCTTGTAATTCTGTCCTCCTCCCTCCTTTAATGGACGCCCTCCATCCATCTACCACTCGTTGCTCATCTCCCTTTGCACACCTCTTATCCCTTCCCTCTGCACTTGCTTTTGCCCTGGACAACACATGCCAGTGCTGGCAGCTCTACTTATAACCTTTTCTTAGAGACCCTGCCCTCCACAGCCCACCTGACTGGGCCAGGCTGTCCCATCAAATCTCGTATCTTTGGCATCTGGAATCAAATGCTGAGAAACTGAGCCAGTCTGATGAATTGCAAAGCTTTATAGAAAAGTTTAGGAGCTCTGGTAGCATAGTGGTTACGAATCGGGCTGCGAACCTTAAGGTCAGCGGTTCGAAACTACCAGCTGCTCTGTGGGAGAAAAATGAGGCTTTCTACTCCCGTAAAGATTTACACCCTCGGAAACCCTGTACAGGGTCGCTATGGGTCGGAACCGACTCGATGGCACTTAGCAACATCAACAATAGAAAAGTTTGGAAGAAATAAAAATTCGGAGATTTAACAGAGATTCAGATAAAGAGAGTGAGCATGAAGCAAGATGCAGAGATAGAAACAGGTCTTCCATTCCCCCTGAGGTCTCTGCAAACTTTCTGTAACTGAGTTCTGTGACAGTGTTGCTGTGAGCTGCAAGTTGTGCCACTAGCATTTCAAATACCAGCAGGTGGACAGGTTTCAGTGGAACTTCCAAACTAAAACAGACGAGGAAGACAGACTTGATGATTAGCTTCCAAAATTTAGCCAATGAAAGCCTAATCGATAAGAACAGAATGTTGTCCAGTATTGTGCTAGATGATGAGCCCTCTAGGTTCACAGGTGATATGTTAGCCACAACGGTCTCAAACATCCCAGCAATCAGAAAGCTGGTGTGGGACCCGGCAATGTTTGTTCTGTTAAACTCGAGGCCACCTTGAGTCTAAGTCCACACAACTGCTTTCCCACTTTCATCTCCAATCAGCTTCTCACTCATGATCCTTTGGGGTTCCAGTTTACCCAGCTCAGTACCATCCCAGGACCGGAGGTGGGTTCTTTTCTTCCTTTCTGTTCCAGCACCACCTTCACAGACAAGACTTCTCTTCCCAGTCACTAGCAAGCATCCTGTGTGTTCTTACTCTTCCACCAACTGAAAGGCTTTCACTTTTTTATTTCCTTATTTACTGTCTGCCCCCCACACTGGAGTATGCATTCCCAGAGAACAGAGCCCTTGTCTGTTCCCTTCTCAACTACCCCCAGGGCCTAGGACTGTACTTGGCACAGACTAGGAGCTGATTAATATTTGTCGAATAAATCAACTTGCCCAAGTCTAGTAAGTGATTCAAGCAAAATGTATCTGACCCCAAAGGCTATTCTCTTCATGATCTATTAGTTGGTTCTCATTGCTAAGTTTTGATGAGAGTTGTAGTCAGGAGGTTATAAAAGAGTGGTCCATAATTAGAGCACTGTAAACCTACACTATATGAGAAGGGAACAATGAAGGCAAAGCAGGAGAAACATCTGCTTCTGATTATTTCATCTACAATAAAATGTATGTCCTAGACTATGGAGACACACTTCATTGTGCCTAATAGTTTCTTCTTAAAATTCATGTAGTGATTGATGGAGATTTCTTTTTCCCCTAAAATTCTACTTAAAAAATACCAGGGAACTGTTATTTAAATGTAGCCCGAAGCAAATCCTTTTGTTCAGCGAATAATCGTGCCTTAATTTGAGTTTTATAAGTTGAGTTTTCTGCACTCCTTTTTTATTTTTTAACGAAATCTAATGAGATGCAATTTTTATAACAGGCTGGTCTTGTTAGGCAACCTTTTCCTTTGGTTTAAAAGTGCATTTTCAATGTAGGGGTGTCATTATCTCGCACTCGAGATGCCAACATATCCTCTGAGAGAGAAACCCTAGTGGCACAAACAGGATATGGCTCTGGGCATACGGTACAGAATTGTCCATGTCACCACAGAACTCCTGTGGCCTCTGGGGCCTCCTGCTTACTCAGTAGTACTAGACAGAATAGAGAGGAAGAGGAGACAGACCAACCCTTTTAGAAAGGTTACAGCCACAGACCAAAGGGACCAGGACTCTGCAATCTACTTACACATGGACAGCTGCTTCTTCTTGGATTTTCAACAGTGCTCAACCATTCAGGGTTTAGGTATCTGGGTATGCTACATTTGCTCAGTTGTTTAGGGGAAGGTAAGGGGCCATCTTTAAATAGCACACCTCAGATGTCTGCCACAGGCAGCAGAACAAAGTGGTGCTTTACTGTCACTCGTGCCTATCTTCTGAGCCACCAACTGAGTGCAGGCTAAAAGTTCTACTAGGAGTTCAGATAGTATGAGGCTCGTGAGACAAAAATCAACAAAACTCAACTCCTCCCTCTCCTGGGCTGGTGATTAGCATTCATGCAGATCCTCATGGCAGGGCTAGTTGGGGAGCCCCACTGGGAGTCAGGGCGATGAGCCATATTCTTTTGGACAGGTCTTTTCTACTGAAGAGCCAAGAAGTGTGTTTGAACGGGTGACCTTTAAGTTAGCAGCCGAGTGTTTAGCCATTGCACCCCATTGTTCTTGTATAAGTGTGTGTGTGTGTGTGTGTGTGTGTGTGTGTGTAGCCCTGTATGGTGGCTATTCCTTTAGAATGTTGTTGTTATTCAGTGCCGTAGTGTTGGTTCTGACTCACAGTGACCCTGTGTAGGGTTTCTGAAGCTGTAACTTATTGTGGGAGTACAGAGCCTCATCTTTCTCCATGGAGCTCTGAATGGACTCGAACTACCAACCTTGTAATTTGCAGTCCAGTGCAAAACAACCATACTCCTACAAAACCACCATGCTCTCTTAGAATAGACTTCCATAAATGGAATTACTGATCAAAGTACGAATATGATCATTTTCATAGTATTTTTGGTACAAGTTCTCAAATTGCTTTTGAAGATGGCTATACTGACTCACAATGCCATCAGCAATTACTCATTTTGCGGCATCATAGCCAGAACTGATGATTATCATTTAAATTTTTTGGGAAATTTAATAGGCCTCTGTTTTAATTCGCATATAATTGATTAACTGAATAAGCAATCATTTTTTCACATTTGTGTGATCCCCTCTCTCTTGCCACAGAACCAGTGATTTCTGGTGTACTTCTGTCCTAACCTCTGGCATTCTTAGGTTGAGAGTCTCCAAGAAAGCAGACCCACAGTACAAGATAACAGGACTCAGGCAGGAGACTGCACAGAAATGGGCATGACAGTGTCGTGAGTACCAGACTGAGGCAGAGACAAAATACCATAATGATTAGATCTTATTAGTAGGGAGTAATTCTGGCCAAACTTAAAGGGGCTGGTCCCTCTCCTGTAGATTACAGCAGCTCTGTCACTGTGCATTTGCGGACAATTCAGTTGATTGTTCTTCTGCAATTAAAGGAGTAAATGCAAATGTGTTCCTGGGATGAAACCTAAAATCCATGCTGTGGAGTCGATTCTGCCTCATAATGACCCTCTAGGACAGAGAAGAGCTGCTATATCAGGTTTCCAAAGCTGGAAATCTTTACGTTTGGGAATTGTTTCCTCTTTAAGGTAGAATAGTATTTGAGTCCTAGTGTGGTATTATAGCTCTGGTAGCATAGTGGTTACGAATCGGGCTGCGAATTGCAAGGTCAGCAGTTTGAAACTACCAGCTGGTCTGTGGGAGAAAGATGAGACTTTCTGCTCCTGTAAAAATTTACAGCCTCGGAAACCCTGTACAGGGTCGCTATGAGTCGGAACAGACTCCATGGCACATTACAACAACAAGTGTGGCACTGTAGGATCAGCAAGGTTGGCCTTTCAAACCAGCCATTCCTAGAAAACCCTCTACAGGGTGGCTATGAGTCGGAACAAAGTTGGTACACACAGGGACCCTGCCTCAGACAGATATGGAAGACAGGGTTTTTCTGAATCTGGTTGCTAGAATTGATCTCCTGAGTAACTGAATCTCTTTGAAAACTAGTTCTCTATGATAAGGATTCTAGTCCGCTGACTGAAAGGCAGTGGTAGAATTCTTGCCCTCCATGAGGGAGTCTTAGGGTGAGTTCCTGACAATGCCCCTCAAGCACATCCACCACCCGTCTTGCATATTTCTACAATGCTGAACAGATTTCAGACAAAGACAGACTAGGAAGAAAATATCAGCCAATGAAAACCATGTGGATCGCAGTCTAGTGTGATTCCATTGTACATGGTATCCACAGGGGTCAGAGTCTGACTTGGCACTAGCTAACAACATTCAACTAAGTGGTTTAAGCAAACGATCAGTAAAAACCAATTACCTGTCCCCCCCCAAAAAAACACAGACTTACCAGTTGCCCCAGGGATACTTCATCTTTCTATTAATATACTTACTTCAATTTTTCCCAGGTCTCCTCACCAAATTTCTCTACGACAAGAGACTGCAGACAGGTGTTGATGAAGCCATACTAGAACACAAAACAAAAGAACTGTGCAGAATGAAGCATGGAGTCCCCAGCTACATACATCTTCATGGTCTATTTTAGGAAAGGTACAATGTTGCCACTGTGGTTGCTGTGAGCCTTGGAGTTAGTTACCACTCACAATGACCCTACAAGGGTTTCTGAAGAGTGGCTGGTGGCTTTGAACTGCCAACCTTGCAGTTAACAGTCCAGTGCTTATCCTACAGTGCCCCACCAGGACTCCAGAACTCCACTGTTGTTGTTGTGTGCTGTTGAGTCTGTTCTGACTCATAGCAATCTTGTATAGAGTTTCCAAGAACACCAAGTGGGTTTGAACTGTCAACCTTACATTATTTCAGTTAGCAGTCAAGTGCTTATCATATAGCACCACACCAGGACTCCACTTAACTGTTGTTGTTAAGTGCCATTGGTGGGTTCCAACTCATAATGACCCAGTCAATACAGGGTTTCCAAGGAGCAGCTAGTGGGTTTGAACTGCTGACCTTGTGGTTCACAGTCCAGTGTTGATCCTATAGCACTACACTAGGAGTCCATGACTCTACTCGAGGAAATGAAGTATACCATTTCCTTGTTTACAATGAGTTTATATATTTAATAGTTGAATTCCTTCCCAACTTGGTGCAAACCTTGTAAACCATCACTCATGTTGTTTCCACAGAGAACACACATGAACTAGATTTGAAGTTAGATTATACCTGTTGTTGTTGCCAAGTGCTGTCAAGTCAGTTCCCACTCATAGTGACCCTGCATTGTGGCCCTGTATAGAGTTTCTGAAGCTTTAAATTTTTTCAAGAGCAGAAAGCCTTATTTTTCTCTCATGGAGCAGCTGATGGTATCAAACCACTGACCTTGTAGTTTGAGTTCAGTGCTTAGATGATAATATTGTTGTTGTTAAGTACCATCGAGTTGGTTCTGACCCATAGCAACCCTATACAGGGTTTCTGAGGAGTAATCGGTGGGTTTGAACTGTTGACCTTGAGGTCCAGTGCTTATCCTGCAGGGCAATCATGCTAGATTATAATTGTTATTGTTAAGTGCCGTCAAGTCAGCTCCAACTCATAACAACTATGTATAGGGTTTCTGAAGACGAGCTGGTGGGTTTGAACAGCTGACCTTGCAGCTAGCAGTCCAGTGCTGATCCTACAGCACCACACCAGGACTCTCAGATAAGAGTTTAATGTTTCTCAGAAACAGGGCCTGGTTAGAACAGATAGTTCAGAAACACAGTGGCAAAGGCGAGTGGTTTAGAAGTGGGGTGAGGAGTGGCCTACATTTCGTCAATTCCAAACTTTTCCTCTTTATAAAAATGCAGCTAGGTTGTGGGGGAGGGGTTGGAAGGACATAAAGAATGGAGGAAAATGGAAGAGGAAAAAACAAACAATAAAGGAAGGCCGCATTGGGCTAGTAAAAAAAATTTTCCACTGACTTGTTGCATAATCTGCAATCTTTCTTTTCTTTCCTTCATCAGGAAAGAAATAAAAGAGATTAAAAAACAAAACAGAAACCCCAAACCCACTGCTATTGAGTTGATGCCAATGAAAAGCCTACAGGACAGGCTGAGTTTTCAAGGCTGTAAATCTTTACAGAAGCAGATTGCACGTCTTTGCCAACCTTGCATTATAGAGCAGCTGATGGGTTTGAACCACCAACAGTTTGCTTAGCAGTGCAATACTTAACCAGTTGTGTCACTAGGGCTCCTTAAATAGAAAACAGGAGCCTATAAATGCCCCTGCTTTGTGAGGCTCAGCACACAGGGCAGGTTACCCCACGTTCCACAGCCCCTGGTCCTCCCTGAGGGCTTTCTGTGACTGAATTGTATTTGAAAGCAAAGAGAGGTCTTAAGAGATTTGTTCTGAGTGAAGATTCCCTTTGTCCCACAGATATCAGGCTCAAGGTTCATCTTAGATGAGAAAGCTTCAAAATAAAAGACACTGTAATTTTTTGAAACCCTAATGTTTGGATTTGCACATAGGGGGATTTCTGATTGGAAAGAGCTCAGTGCGAAGTGAAGGGCAGTGGTCTGAACCCGGGCCATCTTCCTGGGAATGTGCAGCTGCGTTTCCAGTTCCCCACCACAAAACTTTCTCCACCTCTCCCTCCATCTTCTCCCAGTCCCCTACCCTCAACCACCGTGTAATCAGATTGGCTTTCTTCATGCTCCCATTATGGGATCATCATGTTTCCCACTCCCAGTTTCTTCTGCTCACTCAAACTGTCTACCTATCTTTCCTCACACCTGGACCCTGCTCCTTCCCAAGTGTGTCCTCCCCTTTGGTGTAGTCAGCCTACAGCAACTCTCAGCTCAGATGCCACCTTGTGAGAGCACAGTCTCCATCCCCTCACACAGATGACAGCTGGCATCCCCTTGGATGCTCACTCCCCACCACACACACACACAGACACACATACATGTTTAATCTGTCTATCTGGAGTACCTGGGTGCCACAATTAAGCACTCGACTACTTGCCGAAAGGTCAGAGGTTCAAACCCACCCAGAGGCATCTCAGAAGACTAGCCTGGTGATCTGCTTCTGAAAGGTCAGTCTTGAAAACCCTATGGAGCAGTTCCACTTCACACACACAGGGTCCTTATGAGTAGGAATTAACTCAACAGCATGTCTATCAACTCTACATGCGTCTATCTACAGACACATGTATGGGTGCATGTGTGTATATACCACCCCATATATATATATATATATATA